GGGGGTTGGGGGGGTTATGGTGAGGGTGTTAGTGGTGGGGTTTCAGCAAGCACGGGCTTCAACAGTCATTGGCAACAACGTACCTGGCTTTCTGCAAACGTTAACCGTCCGCCCAAAAACTTCGAAAAGGGGGTTAGGGGTGTTAGTGGCAGGGTAGGGAAGGTACTTTCCACCCAAAAACTTTGAAAAGGGTGCCCTCTCGAGATCAGTGGTCCAGATAGGCTGCCCTTTTCAAGCCTTTTTGGCGGACCTACCGGACCCGGTCTGTTTTTTTTTTTTTGGGCTAGGAGACCTCCACGGCCTGCGTGGAGGCCTCCCAGCCCAAAACAAAACGGTAAGACCCCCCAGATTGGATGCGTGGCAGCCCCTTGGTGCTCGTCACTGATCTGGTCCAAGTTGCCCTCGATACTGGTAGGGTGATGGTCCTGAGTGCTGGTCACACTGATGTAGGATAGTAGGGATAGGGGGTAAGCTGCGAGTATTTAACGTGGGGAAGGGTAGGGAAGGTGGCCTATCCTGTCAGGACAACCACCAGCTGCCGCAGCCACCGATCACTGTGGGTCTAGTCCTTGGCCTCTACAACACCTGTCTCTTATACACATCTAGATGTGTATAAGAGACAGCACCTATCCCGTGGATCTGGATTTTCAATTTTGTTATCAGGCAGGCAAGCATGTGGCCGGGATGACCTTGGATATTGCAAAGAGTTCTTCAAAAGTTTAATCAGCTTCTACAAGGTGTTTGTAATTATTTTAGTGTTGCTGCAAGACCTGATCAAGTGCAGGGACCCCTGAACACTGGAGTGTAGCTACTCTTAAATGAACAAGCAGATGAAACATAATACAACTCAGTTTCTTCTTTTTTTTTGCTTAACACGGCCATACAACTCTTGAATAAACAAGCAGGAATTTGGATATTGCAAAAGATTCTTCACAAGTTAAATCAGATGCGACAAGATGTTTGTATATATTATTATATTGTAGTTTTCCTGCGAAACCTGATCAAGTGCAGAGACGCCTGAACACCTGAGTGTAGCTACTCTTACATGAACAAGCAGATGAACAGAATACAATTCGTTTTTTTTCCTTTGTTTTCTGCTTAACATGACAACACAACTGAATAAACAAGCAGGTGAGCATGGCAAATAGGATACAACTATCGATGAAGACAGATACAACAACACTAGTTAATTAGAAGCTTTAGAACCGTTTTCTACTCATCCAAACTTCAGCATGCAGAACCTCGAATCAGCAAGCAGATGAGCATTAGCTGTAAATCTGTTGAATCAACAAGCAGCTGATCACAGCCTCTAAATTACTGCAAGCATACTGGGGGAGCCTTTCCACTTTATCTGTTTGAGAATGTCATTCTGTTTACTACATATTGACCTGAAAGGCCAAAACAATGAAATGCCGGGCTTCTTGTACACCCACAACTGGGGGAGCCTTGTTCTTTTTCTTCAAATATTTTTCCTGGGAAGATCAGCAGATTCAACACCCAATATACATCCTTGAGGGCCTACTCACGCAAGGAGCTTTTCTGGCAAAACCGCAAAATGTCTGTTCTGCAGTCACACTTTACCCGCAAATCTCACCTGCATGCGGGGCCGCAGAGTTGGGTGTTTTTTTTTTCCTTTCGAATCCATGAGCTCCCAGAAGGGAATCGCAGGCATCCCTTGACTACTTTTCCTCTGTGACCGCACACGTGGGCAATTTCCCAAATGGGAGGGCATCCGGGCATTGCCTTTTCCAGTTTCCTACCCCTGCGTGATTGTGCAACACTGCAAAATGGCAAACCGGGAGTAGCAAACGCCGCAAATTTTGCTGCTTTGCCCATGAGCATGCCCTGATTCTTTTCGGAATTTTTGGTTTAAAATTCGGAGCACAAAAAATTGTCAGAGTTGGCTTACTCGATCTTTTGCTGTGTGCCGCCAAACCCACCAAAAAGCCAGTAGGCCAATCTATCAACGAGCATACAGCGCAAACTTTGGGATGTGTCGGGCAGAGGTGGTTTAAGTCCTTATCTTTTGACCAAACCCTGTGAAACACACAGAGGACAGGCTACTCTCCAAGAAAGTAACCTCACTATGCCCGGCAAACCTACTGCATTCATCAGCATGCTCTTGGCTGGCAAATTACCAAAGGAGATGGGAAATCACAAGGACATCCTCACCTGTGAAAAGGCCCAGCGTCTGTGCCTCTTGACTACATCTTTAGGAGCATCCATCATGTTCAAAGCCATCGACATTGATGACGATACCGTGGCAGACCCGCCTCTGGGAAGACCACCTTTAAGGAATCCCTCCCATCGCTGCTCAGGGCTCCTCGGTTTGTCATTTCCATCATAGCTATCCCGTACTTTCCTATCAGCTTTTTTCTGCCCCAACCCAGCAGTCCCTTCGTACGGTCCTTCACCAGAGGTCATCATCTCAAATACTGATGAGCCAGCACTACCCTCCACCGTCATTTCCCCATGAAAAATCAGATGCTTTCGCATCAACTCCAGCCGCCCAGCAACTTTCCTCTTAGGCGTTATCAACACACTGAGCAATGACACAAACACCTGGAATCCAAACAAGTTGCCTCTGTCAGGAGAACACTACCAGCGGTTTAATTCCTCAATGAAAGGCAGACATAAAACAATAAACCGTCAGAAGTGAGATAAACACGATGTTCTTCATGCCTTCCACTCTCTCTCTCTCTCTCTCTCTCTCTCTCTCTCTCTCTCTCAACACACACACACACACACACACACACACAAACGCACAATCATTCTTATATATGTGTATTTCATCTTTGTTGATTTTTCTTAGTACTTTTTGAGTCTGCATGAGCACCTTTAAGAAGTGCTAAATAGTCGATGGTTGCCGGTATGCAGTGCCTGCAGGACTCTTAGGGGGGATGCTTTGTCCATGATGTCTGTGATGCGTATTGTCTGTGGGTGGATGATAGACATCCCTCCGAGTACTTCCCTGGCTCTACAGGTGGTGGGAACCAACAGTCTGCGGGGTTCAATTGTGATGTGAGTAGGTGATGTGCCGCCTTGCTTTGCGTTGAATATGTGGACTGCCTCGTCTGTGCTCCACCGCTGCCTTGCTGCCCGTCCCGCTTGCTTTGCATGTGGTTCTTTGCTGTTGGTGTTGCGTTGTGCCTCGCTGGTCTGCTACCGTGCCGCCTATCCGAGTGTCATTCCTTCCGTGTCCTTTGCTTGTGTGTTGCCTTGTGCTTCACTGCGCGGTTGACGTGCTGCTTGTCCCTTGCCCTGTCAGTTGTTTCTGGCGTTGTGCAGTTGTGTTGCCTTGACAGAGTTCCCTGGAGCTTCGCTGAGTTGCTGCCCACTGCTATGTTCCGCTTGGGGACTGTCTGCCTTCAACATGGGTCAAACGGTTCATGACACAAACCATCAATACGAAGATTCCGCAGATTGTCGAGGCCTCCTGACGAGCTAGTGCAACTCCGGCGAAAGCCGCGAAAAAATCGATCAGTTTTATTTTTTTCAGTCCTCCGAATTTTTCGGGACGTGTGTTTTTTCTATCTTGTCTGTTTAATGTGCTTCTGCGTCGTCTGCTTGGTCTCTTTGGTGTTCTCGTGTGTCATTTGCTTGGTGTGCTTGTGTGCCCTTTGCTTGGCGAGCTTGTGTGTCATCTGATTGGTCTGTTTGCTGTGCTTGTATGTCGTCTGCTTGGTGCGCTTGTGTGTCCTCTGCTCGATGTACTTGTGTGTTGTCTGCTTGGTATACTTGTGTGTCATCTGCCCTCCTGCCTCCCACATGCCCTCCAACCTTTGTCCCTTGCTGCTGTTTGTCATCCTATGGCTTGTCTTGTCGCCTCACGTCTTTCCCTTGCTTGGTGTGCTTGTGTGTCCTTTGCCAGACTGGTGAAAGATGTGTCCAGAAGTCCGGACCTGACCGGACATGCGTCCGGTCCCCGGACATGAGCTGTCCGGGTCCGGGTCCGGGTCCGGGTCCGGGTCCGGGTCCGGGTCTGGCGTAGCCATGGAAAAAGGAAACGGGTGTAAAATAGAAGTTGCATCTTTCACCAGTCTGGCACCATACCTACATGGTTCGTCAACAGCACCCTCTCTCTCTCTCTCTCTCTCTCAGTGAGTGAGTGAGTGCACGCACATGTGCACACAACTGGGATGGGAGATGTCGGCCAAGGGTGGAAAGGGGCACTAGGATGAGGGAGCCTCTCTCTTCTTCTTCGTTTTTTGTCATAATCTCACTACCGATGAAAGAACTTTACAAGATAAATCCCCTTCTTCGCTCACGCGATATTGCTAGTCCCAGTGTGGCCGATCATCCGAATAGACCAGCAAAGCATCATCGGCTTGGTCAGCCTTTACCTAACCAACTACCTAATATCTGTCTCTCTCCCTCCCTCCCTCTCACACACATCGGGGGTGGCGACGATGGCTGATGATGGAGGTTGGCAGGTTGATACAGAAGCTACTCTCTCTCTCTCTCTCTCTCTCTCTCTCTCTCTCTCTCTCTCTCTCTCTCTCTCTCTCTTCCTCTCTCTGTTTGTAGGGCGTAAGAGTTGACAGGGAGGAGGGCATGGTGGCGGCAACAGCAGCCAGCAGTCAACCCATGGCGCACAACATGGATAGCAGTACGTGATGAAGTTTGCATTGTGGGTACAGATGGTAGCTGCTGCTCAGATCATCCCACGATCTGGGATGCTCTTAAGATTGGCCGCGAACTGGGCTCTTCACATTTTCTTTTTTACTTTTCATTTCCCTGCTGCAAGATGTAGGCCGAGACGATTTGCGCTACGGAAAAACTGCACCGAGCGTTTTTTCACACTCGGAAGAAACCATGAAAAAAATCTGAAAAAACTGAGGTACGTAGATTGGGTGCTGATCTTTTCAGGGAAAAACTTTAAACAAAATAAAACAAAACCTTCGCAATCACGACATGAATTCCTGTGGCCGAATGGTGCATCTTTGCACCTTTTTTTCCCTTTCCTTTTCACTTTTGCTGAAACAGTGCTACTGATAGTTCTTGTGAATCAGCGGTACAGGGCACCCAAATTAAAATGTGTTGGGGGAGCGGTGGTTGGAACCACCAGCACATGACCCTCCTTGGATACAGACATGGGGAGATACCGCCGCTGAGATGGAGGAGGAGGGCAAGACGAAGATGGAGATGAAGGAGAAGACGAAGATCGCGATAGCGGTCCAAAAATAGTCTCCCTGCCACATGTCCAAGCAATGTCTGCCCAAAAATGTCGAATCGGATCCTGGGCCTCACAGCCCAACATAACCTCTGCCTGTAACCTCTCTCTCTCTCTCTCTCTCTCTCTCTCTCTCTCTGTGTGTGTGTGAAAGAAGAAGAAGAAGAAGGACGAAGATTCAAATGAAGGATGCATGCTGGGAATAATCCGAGCGATGCAAATGAAGCAAGGGATCGGCAAAGTGATGATAAGGAATGGACAATGCAACATCATCGAAGTACCGACCCGCAATGCACATTCACATACATACAAAAATAGCACAATGTAGCGCAGCGGAAGACTCAAAGATATGATCTGACCTGTCGGACACTGACTCGACTCGGTCCATCACACATGTGAGAGAGAAGAGAGGGACCGCATACATGGAAGAAAGGTTCCGCCTTGAACACAAACATAGGGAGAACCACGGATGAGGGGATGGAGGAAGGGAAAGATGAAGATGAAGTAAGGGAGAAGACCAAGATCACGATAGCATAGTCCAAACATGGTCTCCCTGTTGAATGTCCAATCAATGTCTGCCTCTGTGATGTCGAATCAGATCCGAGGCCCCATAGCCCGACATAGCTTCTGCTTGTAACACCTCTCTCTCTCTCTCTCTCTCTCTCACACACACACACACACACACAGAGAAGAGAAGAGAAAGGGGAGGAAGATATCGAGGGCGAGAACAGGGAGAAGAAGATGTGGACCTCTCCGTCTCACATGCAGGTAACTGCCGCCGTGGACTAACAAACCGGCGTGCCTCTCTGTGCTGCAGGTCGCTGGTGAAGAAACCAGCTATAGCGCCCAGGTAAGCTGCTCTCGCCTCACAGGTATGGCCACCGCCTCTCCCTCACCTCTCCTAGCCTCTATGCCTCCCTCTCTATCTCTACGCAGCGCAGCGCTGAAAATAGTGCTCTGCTCCAACAGCATGTCGCCCAAGGGAGGGGACACTCCTGTTTGTCTAGGAACTGGGCCGGCCCAGCTAGATATAGTGCTGGGCCTAGCTGCAATGCCAAAGGTCTGCAATCTGGGTCGTTGGATCTGAAGTCCGATCGATGGCCCAGATTACAGGCCCAAGTCCTGCTCTTGGTCCTAGGCCTGAAAACGGCCTGCCTGGGTCCCTACCGGACCTCCCGGCTCTTCTGCTGGTGCAGCAGGAGAAGGCCACTACTGGACGATTCCGAACCTGGCCTGAAATGGCCCAGTCACGAACCTGGCCTCCCAGAGGCCCACAAACATGGCCTTGGTCCGAACAGACACTTGTCTGTTCGGACGAAGTCCGAAACAACACCCTGGAACAGACAAATATGGAACAGACAAAAAGTCAGCAAATAAATAAATAAATAGATAAATGGGCGCACAGCCGGCGAGGCATAGCAACGTGCCTGGCCCAGCAGGACGGCCGTAGGTCTCCAGGTCGTGAGCGTTAAATGGGCGCACCACCTGGGGATCCCCAGCAACCATAAGTCCCTGAAACAGGGCCCGTGTCGCGGGCTCAGCATGCAGCTCTCTCTCTCTATATATATATATCGTCAAATAGAACTGCCCGGTAAACCGTAGGCAGAGAGGGAGAAGAGGACAACAAACGAGGGGCTGTGACAAACTGTTTCGTCGGAGTTTCACCGACTTATAT